CAGGCCCCAGGTTTGGGGCCTTGATTCTTCCAGTCTCCTGGGTCCCTGGCACAGAGTGGGGGTTGTGGGTTGTGTGGTCATTCTGGGCCCACTTTTTTTTTTCATGTACCATTATTGTTTATTCTAGGAATCTCATGGTGGCAAGATAACTTAACAAATTCTTTATAACATAATCAAAATTCTGAACAATTTTGTGCCTCTTTCCTTCCAGTGCTTAGATGAACCTTCTACTGTTAAAAACTTTAAATACACATTTCTGAGATTTCTAGACCGGAGAATTTGGTAGTACTTTCTAAGAATATTTGAATATTATTATCACACCCCCCAAATAAAAGCCTCCAATGATGTTTCGTGACCAATTTTTATGTACAATGGGCTCACTTTTCTTTTTTGGGGGGGGGTCGCACTGGCGATGTACAGGGGTTACTCCCGGCTCATGCACTCAGGAATTACTCCTGGTGGTGCTCGGGGAACCATATGGGATGCTGGGGATTGAACCCGGGTCTGCTGCGTGCAAGGCAAACGCCCTACCCCTGTGCTATTGCTCCAACCCGGGCTCAGTTTTCTTAAGCGCGGCCAAACTGCTGAGACTTTGGTCCCTGCCAGCTCCGTGAGGGTTCAGTTTCCACACAGCCTCACCAGCATGTGTGTTCGTGCCTGCTGTGGCCCCATGAGTCTGCAGCCCCGGGAATCGGGTCCAGCCCCATTCCCATCTCCTGAGGGTATGGCGCACAGGTGACAAGATCTGCGCATTGATTACAACAATGTGATATGGGATCTCTCCAGGGGCTGGGCTGGAAGTGGGCCCTTGGTCTAGGACCCCACGCCCATCCCGTGGCTTGGCTGAGCTTTTTTTTAATTATTTTTATTCTATAAAGTAGTTCACAATAGTTGGATTACATTTAATATTCAAACACCAATCCCCTCACCATTACACCTTCCCACCATCGTATTTCAGATATTTCCATCCCAAACCCCAATCCCTGCCCCAGTGCAGAACCGAAATAATATATTTTGTATTGTTTTTATGAAAATCTACTGAGAATGTTAGAAAAAGGTATCCTTAGAAGAAAGAGTGTGAGGATTGTTGTATTTCACCCAGGGGCCATTAAACCCTTCTATAAGAGATCACTAACATGTTGTTAAAGGTTGAGCCTTGTGTGTTTTATATTTATATAAATACATATATTTATATACATATATAATATAAATATATATTTATATATGATATTTATAAATAGCTGGGGTTTATAGTCTCTGGGTCAGCTCCTGGAAGAGAACAGCGCAGAGTCTCCTGCTCCCGCACCTGGCTGTCCTCGCTGGGGGGCCCCTTGGAGGGGGGCGGGTTAAGTTTCCCTCCCCACCCTGAGCAGAGCTCCGGCAGCCAAAGACCTCCAGAACCAGCCACCATCATGCTGAGTCCACTCTCCGCACGCATGAAGGTACCAGCAGAGGAACAAAGGCATACGGGTCCCGGGGCTGAGATCTCCAAGCCTGCTTGGATCGGGGCTGAGCATCCTCCACCCAGATCCTCCATCTTCCAGTAGGCAGGGGTCACACCCACCAACTGGCCCCCTGGCGCCGAGTAATCCCATCAACAGCCAAGACCCAGAGACTATAAAACCCAGCTCCCGGAAGCACGCAACATCTTATTATCTCATTCTTACTTTGGACAACCTGGCAGGCTACCGAATGTTACCTGCCCACACGGCAGAGTCTGGCCAACTCCCCGTGGCGTACAATATGCCAAATACCAGTAACAATGATGGGTCTCATTCTCCTAACCTGAAAGAGCGTTCAATATGGCACTTTTTAAAATCTCAGGGCTAGAACGAAGGAGACGTTACTGGGACCTGCTCGAGGCAATCGACGAACAACAGGATGATCGTGATTGTGATTTATAAATATAAATATGTATCTATAAAAAAGTGTACCCCTCTAAGATTGGTTGCCTCCTACTTTGAACCCTGTCAAATGTAGTGCAGTAATCCTGGAGTATGGATGGAGTATGGGTAGATTATGTGGTTTGAAGTATCACGTGGTCCAGGAATAGATGCACTTTTTGGTGATGCTTGGCAAGCATGTGGAGATTGGCCATGAGTGTGGTGGCGGCTGAGTTGTGGAGGTTTTCGGCTGCCAGGATTGGGTCCCTTGGGATGGTGAAGGAAACTCAACCTGCCCCCCTTCGGGTCGCCACGAGTGAAACAGCCTGGTGTGCGGTCTGGCGACATGGTTATGGTGAGTGTCATGTTGCTCATTTCAGGGAGAGAAGGATGTGTGATCTGGACAGTGACCGATGATGTGGTAATTTGGCAGCTTGGCTGAGCTTGATGGTCTTCACCTGGAACATGGACAGGCTATTCGTGATGGTCAGGGTCGGGAACTGGGACCTGAAAACTCCTGAATAAGTGTTTATAAAATAAATTGAGGGACCCTTTGGTACCGTTTGGTTTGTTTTTATTTTTGCCAATGGCTAATGGGCAAAAATAAAAACACCTTCTAGACAATTGTCTTGCCAATGAATCACCCCCAAGACCATGCACAGGCTGGTCCTGAGGGGTCCCCTTCCCTGGAAACACACCCCAGCAAATCTTTGCTGAGTGGAAGGGGGTGACCATGTGCTGGCATGAAATCGCCCCCTGCCTGTCTCTGAGGCTCAGGGTATCACTGATTATCTCTGTGCTCACATATAGAACATGTGAGAACTTTTGCAGGGTCAGAGATCAAAGACCACTTACTTTTGTGTTATTTGATCCAAATGGGCCATCCACCCCCCATTCTCTATGTCACCCCTTTAGGCAGTATTTCTCAGTCTTTTTCCAACCATGGCCCTTTTCCAACCTATTCCTTCGGTTGTCCTGAGTGCTACCAGTTGGCTCCCTAGTCTTGTGCTAAGGTCCTCCATTGGCATGACTTTCACTGAACCCCTTGGAATACCTTGGGGCCCACAGAGGTGGGAAACTGTGACCCGTGACATTCATCCCAGTGTTTCTCTGACCAGACACTTTTGCCATTAGAGTGCATGGATGGATGGATGGGTGGGTGGTTGGATGGATGGATGGATGGATGGATGGATGGGTGGTTGAATAGATAGATGGATGGATGGTTGGATGGATGGATGGATGGATGGTTGAATGAATAGATGGATGGTTGGATGGGTGGATGGATGGATGGTTGGATGGATGGATGAATGGATGGATGGATGGTTGGATGGATATATCAATGGTTGAATGGATGGATGGTTGGTTGGATGGATGGATGGATGAATGAATGGATGGTTGGATGGATGTGTCGATGGTTGGATGGATGGATGGATGGTTGGATGGGTATATCAATGGTTGAATGGATGGATGGTTGGTTGAATGGATGGATGGATGGATGAATGGATGGATGGATGGATGTATCGATGGTTGGATGGATGATGGATGGGTGGGTGGATGGATGGATGGATGGATGGATAGATGAATAGATGGATGGTTCAATGGATACATTGATAGGTGGGTGGATGGATAGATTGATGGATGGTGGATAGATGAATGAATGGATGCATACATGAATAGGCAAATGGGTGCATGGATAGGTGGATGGGTGGATGATTGGATGAATAGATAGGTGAAAGGGAGGCAAATATTGATATTGTTACAATTCTGTGGATCTGTAGATTCATTGTGCCAGTCTATTTTATTTGTACATGGTTGAAATTTTCAGATGTTTCATTCTTTGTCGTTTGTTTTGGTGGGGGCTGGATTGAACCTGGGCCTGACACATGCAGAGCAAGGAGCCCGCCACTGAGAGACTCCTCAGACCTTTCAAACAAGGCTAAGCCATGTGTGGCTCCTGGATGTGGGTCCCTTTGGAAGGATGGGGCCCTGGGCGACCCTCTCCAGGACCTGAGTATGCTTTAGCAGGCATGCCCTGGCCAGAGCCTGGCGGTGTTGAGGAGCCAGCCTCTCTGGTTGAGATGCCAGGGTGGCCACTTCCTTGCTGGGTGGCCCTGAGCAAGGTGCCCCTCGGAAAAGCTGTGGCCTCACTTGGTGAACAGCACTCGGGCTCTGATCTCGCCGCCGCACCATGAAGCTGGGCATAATCCTGTGAAGGGCTGTGTGCCATGTCTCCACAGAGCACCCAGGGACCACTGCAGCCCTGTGCTGCCTTTGTGTGGTTGCTGCTGATAAGTGTGTCTAGAGCAAAAAGCGAGAGAGAGAGAGAGAGAGAGAACAATGTGTGTGGGGGGGAGGCAGAGATTCAAGGAAATACAAGAGGACTTGGACAGATAGTACAGCAGGGAAGGCTCTTGCTTTGTACATGGTTGGCCTGGGTTCAACCCCCAGCATCCCATAGGGTCCCCTGAGCACCGCCAGGGGTAATTCCTGAGTGCAGAGCCAGGAGTAAACTCTAAGCATCATCAGGTGTGACACAAAAAAGAAAAAAAGAAAGGACAGAATGAGAGAGAAAGAGAGAGAGAGAAAGAAAAGAGAGGAAAAGGAAGGAAGGAAAGGAGGAAGAAATGGTAAGGGGAAGAAAAGGGAAGGGAATCCACTGATAAATAAAAGCAAGAAAGGAAGGGAGAGAGGGAGGGAAGGAGGAAGAAGAAAGGAAGGACGGAGAGAGGGAGGAAGGAAGAAAGGGAGGGAGGAAGGAAGGTAGGAAGAAAGGGAGGGAGGAAAGAAGGAAGGAAGAAAGGGAGGGAGGGATGGAGGGAGGGGGACAGGAGGAGGGAAGGGAAGAGGAAGTGAGGAAGGAAGGAAGGAAGGGAAGGAGGAAGAAGGGAGGAAGGAAAGGAGGGAGCGAAGAGGAAGGGAGGAAGGAACAAAGGGAGGAGGAAGGAGGGAGGAAGGAAGGGAGGGAGGGAGGAAGGAAGGAGGAAGGAGGAAGGAAGGGAGGCAGGCAGTCACCCAAGTCGGCTGATCCCATCCCATGAAGGCCAGGCAGGAGGCAGGCATGAGCCGCCGGAAGCCACGGAGGCCGCAAGCTTCCCTGCCCGTTTTCTTCCTCTGCAGAATGAAGTGGAGCTGGGGGAGCTGCTGCTGTCTCTGAATTACCTCCCCAGCGCTGGGAGGCTGAATGTCGATGTCATTCGGGCCAAGCAGCTTCTGCAGACGGATGTGAGCCAGGGTTCAGGTACAGTCCGCCTCTTCTCCCCAGACCGTTCCTTTTTTTTTTCAATGATACAAGGGACCCAGTTTCTTTCCTTGCCCCCTGGATACTGTTATGTGCACATAGACAGAATCGAGAGCTGCAGTGTGAGAGCAAGAAGGGAGGAAAGGCCAGAGTGATGGCATTGTGTGTGTGTGTGTGGGGGGGGGGGGGTTGCCTTCAGGAGCTGATCCAGATTCAACTCCTGGCGCCCCATCTTGTCCCTTGAGCTCTCCCAAGATTGATCCCTGAACACAGAGCCAAGAGTAAGCCCTGAACAGCTGGGTGAGTTGGAGAGAGAGAGGAGAGAGGAAGGAGAGAGAGAGGAGAAAGGAGAGAAGACAGGGGGATGTAGAGGAGAGAGGGAGAAGAGGAAAGAAAGAAGAGAGAGAAAAGAGAGAGAGATGAGAGGAGAGAGAGAAAGGAGAAAGAGCGAGGAGAGAGAGGGAGAGGGAGGAAGAGAAAAAAGACAGAGGGGAGAGAAGGGAGAGAGAGGTGGAGGAGAGAGAGGAGAGAGAGGGAAAGGGAGGAGAGAGAGGAGAGAGGGAGAGAGAGGAGAGAAGCAAGGGAGAGAGGAGAGAGAAGGGAGAGAGAGGGAGGGGGAGGAGGAAAGGAAGTACACTGATGACTGATGCTCCCTAGATGAGGCTGGCTAACTGTTGTTGTCTGACTCGGGGATTGGCCGCAGGTGTGGAAAGGTTGGAAACCACTGCTCACCTGTCTTGATTATCACGGCTGGTCTGTGGGCTGGTCTGCAGGACAGGCTTCCCTGGAGAATGCTGCTCAAGGCAGCCTCACTTGAACTGGGGGTTTGAGCCTGGGATGAGCGCTTACGGGAACCAGATTCAACCCCAGGGATTTCCTTGCAGGTCCCAAAGCTGTGCCTGCAATGGAGGCGCCATGCTGCAGGGGGCGGCATTTGTGCACTCGTCGTGCCTTTGGGCCAGCCTAACTGGGAGAGTGGTAGGGTTTTCTCCTGGTTCATCCCAAGTGTGCCATGTCTTTCTCAATCCCAGATCTGCAAAGACTGGTACTTAAAGCATCCCTAGGTGGAGCTGGAGCGATAGCACAGCAGGGAGGGCATTTGCCTTGCATGTGGCTGACCCGGGTTCGATTCCCAACATCCCATAGGATCCCCCGAACACCGCCAGGAGTAATTTCTGAGTGCAGAGCCAGGAGGAACCCCTGTGCATCTCTGGGTGTGACCCAAAAAGGAAAAAAAAAATAAATGAAATTAAAAAATAAAGCTTCCCTAGGAAACCAAGTGGAGCATGACTCTTAATGAAGAGGGACAGGTTACATTCCTCCTCTGTGTCGTTCTCCCGCGGCCGTGAAGGTTATTACAGGAGAGCTGCCAGGAGTCTGGGAGCTCTGAATCCTTCCCCAAGACAGGAATACTGTCTTCTCTGAGTGCTGACACTGAAATAAATGACTTGCTAGAAGGTGACAGCTGAATTCAGAAGCCATCTTGCATGCTCAGAAGCTGCCTTATGGAAATGGAGGTTTCAAAGGGAAGCAAGGCTGGGAGGGAGTTTCATTAAGGCTGCATGATAAAATGGCAAAGGATTCTGGAGTCAAACTTCTTGCAGCTTAATTCTAGGGTCCCAATGTTCAAGTGATGTGGTCTTAGGAAGTTACTTAACCTCTTATAATCTCAATCTGTCTATCCGAAAGATGGATTCTACAGTATTTCTCTCTTTGAACTGCTTAAACCAGCATTACAGAATAGGCGTGAGTCTTTTGTAAGCTGTAACATGATCAAAGAATGAGAGCTATAATTCTTTCCATCTGTGAGCTATGGGCTTCCTGACATGGTAATGGGTTTCCAGGGACAGAAAGGCAGGATTTGGGCCAGAGTGATGGCACAGCAGGTAGGGTGTTTGCTTGGCACACAGCTGGTCAGGGTTTGATCCCCACCACCCCATAGAGCCAGGAGAGATCCCTGAATGCAGAGCCAGAAGTAAACCCTGAGCACTGCTGTTATGGCCCCAAATAAAACAAATAAAATAAAAGCTAGAATTGACACTGACATGGGTCTGGCTTTTTCCCAAATAGCCATATAGTAAACAGATATTTGTCATCTTGAATTTCCAGTTTCTTCATCTGTAAAACGAAAACAATGCCTGATTTAGGAGAGGGACTTAAAAATATTGAATAATCAGAGGAAGAGAGTACGAAAGCAGATGATAAGGAGCTGGGGGGGAGGGGATATAGAGGGAGAGAGAGAAGGATGGAGGGATGGAGAAAAGGATGAGCAAATCGAGGCGTGGATGCCTGGATTCATAGAATTCATGGGTTCATTTTAAAAGTAGACATTAGAATGAGTAGATAGGGTTAAAGAGATAGCACAGTGGGGAGGGCGCTTGCCTTGCACATGGCCAACCTGGGTTCAATCCCCAGCATCCCATAGGGTCCCCCCAGTACCACCAGGAATAATTCCTGAGTGTAGAGCCAGGAGTAATCCCTGAGCATCACTGGGTGTGACGCAAAAACAAAAAACAAAAAAGAATGAGTAGGTAATTGGACTGTCATATATGGAAAATTGGATGGACAGGTGATAGAAAGAATGGGTAGTAGATTGATAAAAGGATGTTAAAGTGAAATGTGGAGGGGGTCGTGGATGCACATTTGGGTGGATGGATGGACGGCACGTTGAGTGGACAGGATACATTGTCTGACTTCTAACACTCTGTGATGCTGTGTCCAATTCTCAGACCCCTTTGTGAAAATACAGCTGGTCCATGGACTCAAACTGGTGAAAACCAAGAAGACCTCCTTCTTAAGAGGAACAATCGATCCTTTCTACAACGAGTCCTTCAGCTTCAAAGTTCCCCAAGAAGAATTGGAGAATGCCAGCCTCGTGTTTACAGGTAGGTTCTATTCCAGAGCCAGGTGAACTCCAGGTGAGATGGGTGTGGCCTACTGCCCCCAGGGAGAGGCACAACATGAAGAAAAAAGATGGTGACAGGAAGGACCATCGTGCCTGGAACGGCTTCCTGAGCTGGAAGCAGGGTGAAGCAGACAGTGATCACAGTCTGAACCACTCGTGCCTTGAGCACGACTCCCAGAGTCATTTAGCACCAGTTCCCAGCATAAACCTGATGTGTAGACACTTCAACTAATTACCTAATCCTTGGGCCAGTCCCTTAACTGCTCGAAGCCTTTGTTTCTCCAGGTCAAAGGTGGGCAAGTGACTGTACTCGCTCCGATGGGTGAATGCTCAAGGCAAAGGGGCCTCTGGCTTGAATAATGAGCCTCCAGTGCGTCTGCTGTGGTGGTCTCTGGCCACCAGGAGCTTACCGTCGAGTGTGGAACACAGAAATAAACAGGGTTGAAGTGATAGCACAGCGGGTAGGGCGTTTGCCTTGCACACGGCTGACCCAGGTTCGTCCCCGGCATCCCATTACACCGCCAGGAGTAATTCCTGAGTGCAAAGCCAGGAGTAACCCCTGAGCATCGCTGGGTGTAACCCAAAAGTAAAAATAAAAAAGCAAAAATTTTTTAAAAAGCCCAATAAACAAACAAACACAACACCAGGAGATAAACAGAATTGTCTCAGTGCTCAGAGGGGCAAGGGGCTGTGAAAGGCTTTGCTTAGGGCTCCTCCTTGAAGTGGAGGTTTCGGGCTTCACTCTCTGGTTGAATTGTGTCTCTTGCTTCCGGTACATGTCAATTGGGTATTTCTAGGACGGTCGGTTAACTATTACTGTGAAACAAATCACCCCCAAAATGTGGCAGCTAAAGCCCAAGGGCCTTGATTATCTCATAGTTGCCGCTGGGCAGCGTTTCCCCGGGTTCCCAGGGAGCCCTGGCCTAGGGGACATGGCACCGCACAGCCCCAGAGCAAGTGGGCACCTGGTGAGTTTTGATCTCAGGAGGACCCTGATGGCCGCTCTTGCAAGGATGCCTGGGCCCGGACGTAGAGACAGCTGCTTCTGGCCTTTCTCAGCGGCCGTCGCCTGAGCGCCTGCACCCACTCAGAGGCCGCTGTCCTCAAGCAGACGTGATGTGCCACTGGACCGAGAGGGTGGCAGCTGTCCAGATTGCCAAAGCAGACTGCTTTCCCCACAGCCTCAGGCCAGACGGGAGACCAGGGTCCCCCAGAAGCCTGGAGGGCTGGCGGGCGGGCAGGCAGGCAGAGAGAACACTTGGAATCCAAGTCTGCCCAGAGAACGCAGGACTCCCCATTGTACTTGGCATCACAGGGCCCCGGGCGGGGTGCAGGCCCCACCCGGGAAGCCTGGACGTTCTGTGCATCACCTCATCTTGTCTAGCTAATGCAGCTCAGGCTGTTCTACGAGGTATATAGAACCAAAGGAGGACAGGAGGGATAGCACAGCAGGGAGGGTATTTGCTTTGCATAATGGCTGACCCGGGTTCGATCCCTGGCATCCCATTTGGTCCCTCGAGCACCACCAGGAGTAATTCCTGAGTGCAGATCCAGGAGTCACCCCTGAGCATTTGTGGGTGTGACCCCAAAACAAGAACCAAAGGACATGTGTGAGCAAGAAATCAAGGGCTGGGAGGGTCACAGGCTTGGTCGGGGGCTCAGGGTTCTGACTCTGTGGCCTGGGGAAGACCTGGTTGCCTCAGTTTTTCTCATCTGGAAAATGGGAGGCAGCTCCAGGTCTGGCGAGGGTCCAGCCTCCTCCCTCCCCACACATGTTCACGTGCTCATAGCAAGCTCTCAGGCCGACAACTCACAATCCAAAGGATGCTGGCTTTGTCCCTCCACCCACTTCTGGCACCTTCTCCCGGAAGTCACCCTTTTTGCAGCCCCTGCTCCTTTTATGCCTCCGTCCTTATTCACACACAGGATTCCATTCCGTTATATATGATTGGAGAACCTGGCCTGAAGCCCAGCATCTGTGCCACATCCTGCCCCCACACGCTGGGACTCTTCCAGGAAACAAACCCAACCTTTCTGATCTCTCAGGGATTTCCAGAATATTCTATGGAGGCTAACGCTGAGACTCGCTTGTTTCCTCCCATAGGAGGCCCCTTCTGGTTCATGCCATGGAACTGGATCAAGTCTGTGTTTCTGTTTGGTTATTTGGGGGCCACCGCTGGCAATGCTCAGGGCTTACTCCCAGCTCTGTGCTCAGGGATCACTCCTAGCGGTGCTCAGGACTTACTCTCAGCTCTGTGCTCAGGGATCACTCCTAGCGGTACTCAGGGCTTACTCCCAGCTCTGTGCTCAGGGATCACTCCTAGCGGTGCTCAGGGCTTACTCCCAGCTCTGTGCTCAGGGATCACTCCTAGCGGTGCTCAGGGCTTACTCCCAGTTCTGTGCTCAGGGATCACTCCTAGCGGTGCTTAGGGCTTACACCCAGCTCTGTGCTCAGGGATCACTCCTAGAAGGGCTCAGGGGACCATGTGGGGTGCCAGGGATCAAACCCAGGTCAGCTGCAGGCAAGGCAAGCGCCCTCCCCGCTGTCCTATCCCTCCAACCCCAAGGCTAGTTAAGTCAAGTTCAAGTGCCAGTCAGTCAATCAAAATAACCTCTGTTTTTATTCTATTTTTATTGGATTTATTCCTTTGTGGGGCAGGGCTGGGCTACTCCGGCTGGTGCTCTCCCCACCCCCCTTTTGAGTTGTTTTCTTTTTTATTTAGGGGGCCACACCTGGTGATGCTCAGGGCTTACTCCCAGTTCTGCATTCAGGGATCACTCCTGGCGGGGCTCTGGGGACCAGATGGGTGCTAAGGATTAAACCTGGTCAGCCGTGTGCAGGGCAAGCACCCTTCCTGCTATGCTATCTCTGCAGCCTCTATACTTCTTGTGTGTGTATTGGGGGGTGAGGGGTGGGGATGAGGGGTGGGCCCACCCCGGCAGTACTCAGGGACTGTTCCTGGCAGGGTCAGTTGCAGGACCCACAAGCGCCCTAGCCCCATCCTGGCTCTCGGACCCGACTGCAGACATTCATCACACCCAGTTAAGGTTTCAGTGCCATGAGCGGAAATCCTGGCTGGTGGCATTTTCCTTAAAGGACTCGGCTGGGAACCATCCCTGGGGGCGGGGGGCAGGGGGCGTGGGGAGGGCAGAGCTCCAGTCCTCAGAAAGCTGCACTCTGACTCGCTGTATTTGATCAGCTGGAGAACAGCGCAGGCACCTTTACCCAAAAGATCCCAAACCAGCCTGTTCGCTTGTTTCCAAACACGCTGAGCCACACGGGCATGTTGATCTACAATTACAGGTTTGCAGAGAAAGAGTGGGGAAGGTGGGTGGCCACGGCTGAGGGGCTGGGTTTCCTCAGCCGTCCCTGCCCAGTTGGGGAGGTGGGCAGGGGGTGCTCTTTGGCAGTTTTCAGTTGGGTTGATTTCTTTTATTTATTTATTTATTTATTTGCTTTTTTGGGTCATACCTGGCGATGCTCAGGGGTTACTCCTGGCTTGGCACTCAGGAATTATTCCTGGAGGTGCTCGGGGGACCCTATGGAATGCTGGGAATCGAACCTGGGTCGGCCGCGTGCAAGGCAAACACCCTGCCTGCTGTGCTATTGCTCCAGCCCCAGCTGGGTTGATTTCTGCCCCATGCTCACCTTCCAGTGTCAGGAAGAGGCCTCGGCTTCTGGGAGGTGAGATTCCCGGAGCAGATTTTTTTTTTCAAATTAAATTTGTTTGTTTGTTTATTTATTTATTTATTTTTGGCTTTTTTGGGTCACACTGGCAATGCACAGGGGTTACTCCTGGTGGTGCTTGAGGGACCTATAGGATGCTGGGACTTGAGCCTGGGTCACCCACGTGCGAGGCAAACTCCCTACCTGCTGTGTCATTGCTCTGGCCCCAAGGAACAGATGTTTAGATGATGCTTCATCAGCTCTCTGCCTCCCTCACTTCCCCTCCATGTGCTGGGCTTCCTGGCCTTCTCTGGAAGCATCCAGAACCCTTGCACGTTCAGGACCGCAATGATGTCCCATGAGCCAAGCACCAGCTTTGCATGCAGGAGGCATCGGGCTCGGTCCCTGACCCCACGGGTTCCCCCAGGACTAGTCCCCAAGCTCAGAGCTTGAAGGAGCCCCTGAGCATCATCAGGAATGGCATCCAAATAAAGAAAACGCCAGACCTCTTCCTTGGGCGCCAACTTCCCCGGGGAAAACTCCCCACCTCCTACCTGGGGAGCCGGGCAGGAGCCAGGCCGTGCAGCCCCCAGGATCGGGGTCTGTCGAGCATCAGCTCCACGCCTGGCCCCGTCTAGGCGCTGTTTTTTCCCCCGAAGACAGAGCCACCATTCGTGGCTGCCTTTGCAGGGGGCTTGATTCCAGTGGGGGTGGGCGGCGGAAATGTGCCAGCTCCACAGTGACTGCTCTGTGATTCAGACAGTCCCCAGTTCGGTCCCCGGGTACTGGACCGCCTCTGCAAGCTGGATGCCGGAGGTGGCAGGGGCTGGGGAGAGGGCACGCAGGGCTGCCCCCCAACGGGAAATTGAGGCTGGCACCACACGGAGCTTGGGATCCAACACGGTCAGCTCGAGAGACCCACTGCCCACCTGTCCCGTGAGCATCCCAAACACAGCTGGGCCAGAGAGTGTCTGGAGGTCCAGTCTCTTACGATGCATGTGACTGACCCTGGATCCACCCCTCAGCACCTCATGATCTCCCAAGCACACACTACGGCGGGTAGCCCCCCCCCCCAAAAAAAAACAAACACAAAGAACCAACTGCAGAAACTGACCCAGGTACCCGAGACCCAGGGCCATGGGAGGACCTGGAGGCAGGACCTCAGCCAGTGGCTCCCTCCATGCTCATCACCAACTCTTTGCCTCTCTTTTTCTTCTTTTGCTTTGTAGGTCACACCCGGTGATACTCAAGTGTTATTTCTGGCTCTGTACTCAGGAATCACACTTGGCGGTGCTTGGGGGACCATATGGGAT